TGATCCTATACCTTTCAAGTTTATATATTTGCTTAATAGGAAAATTTGGAGCAATATTAGTAATGAATTATTAACTAATTGAGGGGTGGAACGAATAATAATATTTTCTGATGGAAAAATGTCGATGATATTTACTTAGGCTTCTAAGTGAATATTTGTAGTGATTAGAAGGTTATTTCATTGCTGTCTGTACTGAATTGAATCTTTTAAATCTTTCACATCATAATAACTTTTATTAGTTAATTATTTGTCGTCCGTTTTGAGGCTTTTTTTTGCAAATATTTTGCTCTTTCAGATAAATCTTGTTTATTTAATACTTGAAAATTTAGATTTATAATTCGTTATATTATTTTTAATCTGTTTTTTTTTCTGATTTCATTTGAAATTCTTTGTGAAATTATTTATTTTACAAATAAACAACTTATGAATCGTTCATAGCCAAATTTCATGTTTATATTGTGACTTGATCGGTCAATTTTTCTTCCTTTCACATTATAATTAGTTTCATTTCCATGTTGGAAAATAATATATTATATAAATGGTGTGCGAAAATTCTCATTTGAAAGATTCACAAACAACAAACTATGACGAATTTCCTTACCAAATCGGCTTATCTAAACTGAGACAAAAGGTTTTCTAAGTAGCATTATAATTATTTGACTTCAGATAATCTTGAATTTGCTCTTCCAAATTTTCCAAAATAGGAGTGGAAAGCAGGTAAGTCAGAAAGTGATCAAAGGTTTTCGCGGAAGGAACTTTTTTGTCACAAAGAGATTGGAAATGTTGTTGATTTTATATTTCATGATAAAAAAATTGTGAACTATTGTTTGTCTTTAAATGATATATTTGTGGTCTGTATATATTTTCACCTTTATTTTAGAGTATGTTGCTACTGACCGGGTGAATTAAAATTTCGTTTTTTATTAGCTGTGTTTCCTTTTTTATCATTTCAAAAATCGAAGGATCTAATTTTTCCAACTCTTTTGTTTTCTTTTTTAAAAACGAATTTTCATTAAAGTTTTTTCTTTGATACTGAAGGAGGGAAGAATGAAAGATCGTGCCATTATATTTTCTTTGTCACAAAGTTTTGATATCATAACAAGCAAGATTTATTTAGGATTGATTAATAGTTGTAGATTGATTAGTAGTTGTAAGTTGTAGCTGACAGATTTTGTGACTAAAAAAAAAGAAATGTGAAAAAGGAAATGACAAAAATTAGACTTAGTCTAACATTATTCATAAACGAATCAAAAAAGTTTTCAAAAAAGCGAAATGCCGTATTCAAAATGAATGAAATTGTGAGAGTTATTTATCAAAAAGTATTTTCAATTTAGTTGATGCAACAATTGCTATACATATCATTCAATAACAATTACTTTTTACGGAATAAAATTAGCATTTATGAAACTGAATGAATTATTTTAGATTTCCTTCTTTTTTTCCCACTACCAATGGGAATAAATTTGAGTTAATGTTGCGAATTTAAATATAAATTTTTCAAGAAATTACAATTTAAATTTGGCATGCAAAACTTTTGACATGTTATAAATGACTTTATCAATTTTACGAATAATTTGTTTAGCTTCTCGATTCATTGTAAATTCATTAATTTTTTTAAACCATTTGTTTATAAAATGTTATTTCAATGTATGCAATAATTCAACATGTAACTTTCATTGCTGTCTTTTTCTTCTGTTTTTATTTTTAATTCAATTTGAAGATTTGAGTTAGTTTCATATTAAATTCTTCCAAACCTATCTAATGCAACAAATAAATTTTCTTTCTTTTTATTTAAAACTTTTTGCCACTTTTCTTTTTGAAAAAAATTACCTAAATGTTAAAAGGATGAAAATGGGATGAAAAATAAAAAGCAGCAAATAAAAGTAAATAAGATTTAAATCTCATCATATCTAAGGAATACAAAAAGAAAGGTTATTTTACGATTTTTTTTTGAACGATTATCAATCTTTTTGAAAAATTGTTAAGTCCATGAAAATGTTTCAAAATTAAATTTTCAATTTGTCATAAAATTTAAATGTAAATTACATTTGTAAATGTATTCAAGAAGGATGTACATTTCAAAAATGTAGGATTATCTTGACATGAAACGATGAATAAATGTCAAATTTCTTCCTCATATAAGGAAGGACATTTTGTCGCATGTAGGAGATAGATGAGATAAGGTAAAAGAAAATAAAAATTTTTTTCTTAAAATTAGGAAAAAATTTTTAAAATAATTTCTATAAAATGTTGACGTATTTCTTAAATTTTCACCATTATTTTAATTTTAAAAGCTGAAAGCTTTTAGCTTTTTATTTCGCTCACAACAAAATATAAAAAATTTTAAGGATTAGAGTACAAAATTCAATACAAAAACATAATGAAGATTAGAACTACTTTTAAGATTTAAATTTCTCTTTTCCTTCGTAACTTTCAATTAGAAAATTGACTAATTTCACTTTATTGTTTTCAACGATTTCACATAGTTATTAATTTTGCATTATCAAAACATGGTTATTTTTTTCTTCAATCAGTTCACATATGAATTGACTATCTGACATTTTGCATTTTTTGTTTTACTTCCTGTGTTAATAAGACTTATTATAATTATCACATAATTTTTTTAAAATTAGTTCTCATGTCGGTTGACTCTGTGTCCTTTTATACTTGTTGTTTTATTTACTATTCTGATAAAGTTTATATATTTAATTTATATTACAATAAACTTATATTGTTGTAATAAACCAAAATTTTTTTTCTTTATTTCGATAAGAAGAAGAAGTTGCTGATTTCAATTTAATTTTTACTAATTGCGATTTTTATGCTAAATTGAAATTACTAATTATTTTATTACCATAGAATGTAAATTTATGATGATCGTTACTAAATTGTAATAGGAATAGGCAACAGTTCTTTATTTATTTATTTCTTTTTTCGATTTTTTTTTCCTAATTTAATTAAATTTTGTGTTAGATTTAAATGACAAAGATGTACAGAAATATAATGCATAGGAATAAAAGTGAAATTTGAGAAAAATTTAGAAAAATATGAAACGAATAATTGATAAAATAAACAATAATTTTGGAAGCAAAATATGAAATCTTTTTAACTTCCTTTTTTACTCTTTTATGAAAAAATTATTAAGTATTGTTGACTTAATTATATCATTTCGAACTTTTCCTTTTTTTCTCTTCCTTTGGCTTATTGTTATCAATGTAAAAATGAAACAAATGACTTTTCCAAACTTAATAATCATTAATTCAAAAATTTCCCACTTGCTTTTTTTTTGTTTGTTTCAATTTTATTTTTATGTTTCTAATTAACCTTTTCCATACAAAGTAAATGTCATTTCAAAATATTTCATAATTTTTGACACATTACTATTAAAAATTAAAAAGTTCACATAAATTAATCTTTTGTTATTTTAAAATATACGATAATTTCTTCAGCATAAAATGCTAATCGAAATTTGTACACCGATTGTTTCTATTTTCTTTTTTAATTAAATTAATTCTGAAACGAAATAATTCGTAATTTCAGATTCTTCAATAAGAATTCGCTAATACTTTAATCAGTTTGCTATTGAAGATGATATTATGCTATTCGATGATACATATAATGATAGTAACAGGCATGTTACTATCATGTCATATAATTTATTCGTATGATATAGACGAACAGACTAATAAATGCCTCTATGAATTTGATCCAGTTTACTGTTATTTACTAGAACAAGCCAATAAAGTAAGAAACAAATTTTTTAGTCTTTTTTCTTTTTTTCCTTTAAAAAATGATTTATAATTAAAATTAAAAGGTTTTATTTTAATCTCTAACTTTTAATGATTCTTAAATTATTTCACAACGTTATTTTTTTATTTCTTTCGTATTTAAAATATACCAGAATAGATAGATTAAGCGAGTTAAATTACCAGAAATTTTTTTTTTTGTTTTAATTGTTTTTTTTTTTTTTCAAAGAAGGGGAATATCGTTTATTTCAAAACATTTAAAATATACAAAATTGAGTTGAAGATATATATTGAAGATTCAATAGTGGAAATGAAGAAATGAACGAAAGAAAGAAAATTTCTTTATAAAAAAAGAAAAAAAGAAAATTTCTCATTTATTTTTGAGAAAAACAAAACAAGGATTTTAATTACTGTAGGCCTGAATGAGTATTTAATTACTGTAAATTCTATAACAAAGCCAAGTGATTGCTTGAATGATATGATAATGATTAAATTTGCTTTTAAATTCCTGAAACATATATATATATATATATATATATGTGATTAAATAGATATTCATGGTTAATTTCTACTAAAAATTTATTGTTTCATTAAAATATCAAATCAACCTTGTCATTTATTTAAATATGCTAAATGCTATCATTTTTCTTTTTTTTTAGCCTGATCTTGAACTTAATTCCTTGCTCAGTTTTTTTATCCATTCCATGTTACCTTTCTCGAAACACTTTGAATTTCAACATTACTAAAAAAAAAAATTCTTAAAAATATCATTGAAATACAGTATATTTGATTGATTTTGATCATTTTATTTTCCAGATGTGACAGGCAACAGTAAATTAATTAGAAATTATGATATTTCAAACAGAAATCTATTGTTTGATTAATCATTTATTATGTTTTGTTAAGATTCAGGAGCAACCTATAGAAATACCAATAATGCAACAGCTAAATCAAAAACGATCATTGAATAAAGCACGAAACAAATTGATTAAATCAAGCAGATTTTGGGGAAAACGCAAGGATGATATGGTAGTTGTTAGTTTTTTTCAGTATTGATTTCAGTATTAATTTTTTAAAATTTATTCTGAATTTTTTGTCGACTTTTTTTTCTTTTTTTCGTATTGGAAAGCTGAAAAGATTAACAAAAATGCAATCAAGAGAAATTTCAAATAAATTTTACAGTTTTAGAAAAATTTGAAATTTATTAGAAAAATCTCTGCCATGTATTACGAATGAATTTATGAATTTGTTTCAAAGTTGAAAATGTTTTAAATCTTGTTGTTAGCTATTTCAGGAGAAGTGAGGGGACAAAAAAGAAACGAAACTTAGATGATTGAATTAAAATTTGCATGTTTTTATAATTCTTAGATTTTAAAATGATTAATTTTGCAGAACGAATAGCTGTTCTTTGAAAGTTTTGTAATAGCAAAATTAAAAAAAAAGGGCTGGCTTACAAAATTTGAAACTTTTAAAAAATTTGAAGTCTTTCTTCGTTTCAGTTTGACGAGGGTAAACAAACTTTAATGTCTCGTGGCATCAATTTCGGTATGCAAAAAATTCATTTCCTTTTAAAATTTAAATCCTTATATTTAACATAATAAGTTACATAGGAAAGTTCGGTTCTAGTACTTTGCAAAACTTTCTGATATTTCTATCGTTTGAATAGTAAGCATCACAACAGCATATTCTAAATAAATCAGTAAATTTGTTTTAAAGAAAATTTTGAATTGTTTAAATAATTTTATTTCAGATGAACAAAATAGACGACCAGACCGTCAGAAGTTTGGGCTTGCAATGTCAAGTCGTTTTTGGGGCTAAGAAAAAGAAACTACACACATCAAAATTGTTCTGACATACTTTATCAGCAAACATTTTGTTTACTGACCAATAAATTTATCCAAGATTTTTTAATAAAAAAAAAAGAAAACGAAGTAACTTTGTAAAAGTTTGCATCATAAATTATTATCCAAAATTTCCATGGACTTAGCTTTACAGAATTCATTCAAAACTGTAAATTAATCCGATTTATCAGTTTGTTAAAGCTGTCATTCTTATCGTCATATTGCAACATTTTTTTTTTAACTGATAAATAATGGTACCAGAAGTGGATGGTCTATTTTTACCTTACCTAGTTAAATTCTCATTGATAATCTACCAATCATTAATCGTTTTTACAAAATGATACGACATGAATCTATCAAAAACATGCATAAATAGATTATCAAAAATTGAAATTGAAATTGAGATTGAATTTGTGTTTCAAAATTGGAAAAAATTATTTTGAAAACAAAATTATTAATTTTTTTTTGCCACAAATTATTGGAAACTAATGAAATGTGCAGCATGAGTGCGAAATTTTTCGAATTGTATCGTTAATTCATTATCCGTCATTTTTTGAATATATCAGTATTATCAATTAATGATATCATTGCACTTTACCGCAATTTATTCAAATTTTGCTAAATAATACAAATTTATCAAATTAAATCAAGCATTTATTTATTTCTTTAACATAATTCATGTGGACGATTATAGTGATTGATAGTTTAAAATATATTAGCACATAATAATTCATCGTGTCGCATTTGACCTTTCACAACAAAATGTCGCCAAATATTCTTGTGAGCATTTCCCGTAGTCGCAACAAACTGATGCAACACCTCGACGATAGCTACGATTTGATGTCCTGTCTGCATCTATAATTTATAATTTTACATTTAAAAAAATATAAAATAAATATTCGTCAAATTTTATTCACTGTCATGCTATAAATTTCATTATCACAATGATATTTTCATCAGATTTTCTGATTTTTTTAAAGTTACTGCCAAAATTTACTGATATTTGAGATTATCACAAAAGTGACATTTTGTCCCTTTGATGAAACTTAGTAATTTCTTAATTTCAATGAAAATCCATTTTTCTACAATCCCATTTAACATTGCTATGAGAATTTTCCTTAAATAATTTTATCAATTAAATAAATGTTCATTTTACACCATTGGGAATTTATGTGAAGTATGCATTTATATTCAAAAGGAGTCATATGACAGATAGCAAAGAGAAAACAAACCCAAAATTTGAGGAAAATAAGAACATTGATAAGACGAATTAATTTTTCATATCTTTGTTTATCTGTTTCAAAATTAATCGGCAACTTAATTGAAATTTCCGAAATAAAATTAGTAATTTTCCAATGAATTAAATGCTTTCAGGTTAAAAAGAATGAATCATTCGATGGCGGAGTAAATTCCAAAACTTATTGTTATAATAATTTGATGTTATCCCTTCCCAAAATATCATAGTGATATAAATTCCAACAATTAATATCTGTTATAAAAGGCTCATAAGCTACCATTTGCTGACCAAAAAGATGTTTTAAGAAATTTAATGACGATTAAATTAAGTTAATTCTAATCTACCAAATGATTTAACAAAAAAAAAAAATTCGATTAAGGAAGATTTCCAACAAGTATGAAAAAAGCCTTTCTTGTGTTAGGTAATTAATTAACTTCCTTAAGCCATAACAGTTAAGCTTCAATCTAATACCCAACGGCAACTCCCTATCGATTTAACAACAAATTAGTGAAATTGACGAAATTAAAAACTATTTCTTGAGAAATTCACTTATTCACATCTTAAAATGTAATCGCTTAATTGTTTAATCAAAAACTGTATGCAAGAAAGTAAAGCCAAACTTCAGACAAAAATTTAAAAAAAACAAAACTTTCCCGTCATTGAAATATTATTAAAATAATATGAATGCAAATTAGTGGAAGGATAATTTGACGATTTTAATTGATGCTAGAAAAAAAATGGATGAAATCTATCACTCAAAAAGAGATATTTGGAAGTTATTTTGCTTCAATGGAAATCAATCACTACAAAAAAAAAAAAAAAAAAAGAAAAATGCTAGCAATTAACATTAATGATTGTTAGGAAATCTCAGAAACAGTAAAACTTAAAATGTGAATAAGTGTATCATTATATTTGACATTTTGCATATGCTCGCCAACATTTATCACAACGATAAATATCATATCAATTTGAAATGTCATCAGGAATGTCATCTTTCAGAAATGAATTGGATGATTTAAAATACTGCCAATTAAACTGATCGTTTTAAGTCAAAATAAGAAAATGAAATGATTTTAACAATTCTTCAAAAAGAATGTTAAAATCATTATTTTATCCAAAAAATAATTTCACAAAAAAAAGAAAAAAAAAAAGCTAATCATACGTAAGATTACTACAATAGAAAAAATGAAAATGAAAATAACATTTGGTTAATGGAATTAAGATTATTGTGGTTTTTTTTTTTTCCACAAAGAAATTAATTTTCTTTGCCAAAATATTGATAAGTTAATGCACATCAAATTCATTACTCAATTAATTAACCAAACAATAATTACTGTAACAAACCAAGAACAATTGTTCATTAAAGTGAATTGGAGTAAGAATTTAGGGAATTTAAAGAAATTCAAACTTTTCGAGAATTTGAAGTACCAATGATTGCTAGCAATATTTGCAATGTACAGTATTAGTAAATATTGACTTTCATTTTGTTATTGGAATAAAAATTAGTTACAACAATTTTTGATACATTGTCATTTTTTTTCCCTCTCTCTCAAAATTATTTGCAAACAATAGTATCGTCAAAAGAAAATTTCCAAAAAGTTGACAGAAAATAAGAAAATAGAATTTCTCTTCTCTAATATTTTGAATAATGTTGAAATTTTAGACAAAAAAAAAAAAGAAAAAAGGAAAAGAATTGTTGGTAAGGTGAAATTACTCCGATCATTTCTTCTTGAAATCAATTTTACATTTAATTTCCACATTTCACACTTACATACTGTATTGGCTGAACTTTGAAAGCATGGATAGGTGGCATTTGCTGGAGTACATTTCTGCAATGAATTCATATTTACATATATCAAATGATCAAATATTTAATCATTATCAAAATTGCTTTATGCATGAAAATTAACTTCTGAAGTTTAGGATTTATAGTAATTTTTTATGCGTATGCTTGATGGATGTCATCAAAAATTTGACATCAAATAATTTAGAATTGAAATAAAATGAGTAAAATTCACTTAAATCAGGCAAAAAATTAAGCGATTATAATAAGTAATCAATCAGTATGCTTAAAGATAATTTATATTTTAACAAAGAAAAAAAAAGGAAAGAAAAAATTGTGAACAAATTTTATAAATTCACCTTAATCAATGCATATATTAGCGCTTTACCACAAATACGAAAATGGTTTATTGTTACAATTTGTTCCGTTTTGTGATATTTATTAACAAATTTATCAAAAGTATTAAATGTCTAAAAAGTTATTGAGTAAAATAAGAAATAATAAAAGAAATAAATGTGAAAAAGTTTAAATGAACAAAAGGAAACAAAAATGCATTTAGTGTTGATTGAAAAATTTTTTAATACTAAATAATATTATATCATAATCATTTTGTGATAATGCATTCAAAATATCTGTATACAGTTCAAAAATTATGGATTAATTAGGATAATTAATGCATACGTTGACACTGGCAGCTACTTCTGTTGTTTCTGAAGTGGAATAATACTTGATTATAAATACCATAAATAAGTGTAAGAAAATGATGTTCCAAAATATCCGGAAGCTTGGATAGTACATATTCCAGCTTCTAACTTTAATTTCATTTCGATACTTTTACTCTTTCAATTTCTTCTGTTTCAGTTTAAATTTTCACATTATTTTCCATAAAATACATTAAACTAAATTAACTAATAAATTAAGCATTAATATTAAACTTTTTTTTTTGCTCCCATCTGATGATATTCTTCACAATTTCATTCCTACCATAACATTCACATTAAACCAACCTAGCTATGATAACTTATGATAGATATATGATACATATCTATGATAGATATCATCCTATGATAACCTATTTTATCATCGATGATAAATTTTTCAATTATTATATAAGTAAGAAATATTCAAATTCTAAACAAGCCAATCTATTGATCATTAAAATTCTAGCAATCATCAAAGATAGGATGAAAAATCGAAAAAGAAAAGAAGAAAGAAGAAAAAAAAAAAATTGATATAAATGAGATAATCCAATATGTAATTGATTAAAAATATGTAAAATCTCTCGAATAATATAATATTTTTATAGGAATGATACAATCAATCCGGTATAATATGTATAATAATATCTTAATTATTAATAAATTTTTGCATTTGCACATAAGCACTAATACCATTTGTATTTTACTATGTAAAATTATTTTGTATCAAATTAATCTTTGAGATATTTTGAAATTTTTTCAAAAAATTATCTGGGATAATAAAAAAAGAGTGAGGGGAAAATGAAAATTAATAAAAAAGTAAATTTTAACATGTCATTTTAACAGTTAATAGAATGATATATTAATGAATAAAGATCAAATTCGGTTGAAATAGTGTAAGAAAGAAGGGAAATGTGATTCCTTGTAAAATTTTTAATGTTCCCAAGATGGAATGTTTGTTTTGTTGTGACTTTTCAACCAGACTATTTTGTTTTATTTATTTATTTATTTTTTTTTTTGTTGAATAATTTAAGAAACATATGAAATTTTCTTCTCTATCATTAACAGTAATACCCTTATCTGTTATGCTATTAATTTAGTCCTAGAAAGTAATAAATGAGTAAGCAAAGAGGAAAAGTTTGATTTTTAATTTTTTCAAAATTTTCTTCCTTTTGAAAGCTTTACAGAACAAAACTGTTAAAAAAAAAAAAGGAAGAAGCAGAAAAGTTGAGACTGTAACAATGATTGTTATGTTGAACCAATAAAATTACATCGAAAGTACATTTATCACTTTTTTTCGGTGGAAATATTTGAAATCTAAAATTTGATAAAACTTTTAGTCATACTTTTAAGTTTCCAATTATTTTATTTCTCATAAGATTTGAGTTTTAGATATCAATTGGATTTTTAAAACAAATCCATTAAATTTTTTATTTTCATACTGTAATACAACAATTTTAGTTTTTCCATCGGATGAAAGCTTTGTAAATTTTTTTTTTCACTTCTTTTTCTCTGGATATTTTCAAATGATCACATTGCATATATTCCTCAATCATTTATTTAATTTTATCAATCATACAATACAATCACAACAAATCCGATTAATAAAATAATACTTTTATAACATTTTTCATTGTTTACTCCATATTTTATTGTGATAACAATGTGGTAAAAAGAATTCTTTCAAAAATATTCAGTATTAGATGGATGATACATTAGCCTATAGATGATATCAGATGAATGATATATTAGCCTATAGAGTGACATATTAGCTTATAGAATGAAGTATATCGTATCAGATGGATGACACATTGGCCTATAAAATGACGAACAGCAAATTGTCTTTGATTTCATTCATTTGTTAATTGGCCTATCGAATAGTATGAATGAATATATTAAAGTTGTCAAATTAGAATTGTATCGATTATAATAGATCTGAGAAGAGAAATATTTGGCAATAAACCGAAAAAAAAAAAAAAAAAGGTAACGGAAAAGGAAGATGATTATATTTGATAGCATCAGACAGTATGTAATGATTTGGTAAATGTACTTTGAGTACACTTTAAACATTCTTAAAATATTTGAATTAATGGTACTAATCTATTGAAGGACATTTAAATACTGAACAAAAAAAGAAAAAAAAACCAAATATTGGACTTTTGTAATACCTAAAAGATTATTTGCTCATGCGTAAATTGACTTCTCCAAAAGTTCATTCCCTGTATTCATCCATTCTTTCATCTATCCTTGTATCCATTCACTCATTCATTCATCTATCCATTCAATTCATTCTCTTGATCATATCTCAAAGTTTATCTTATCAATTGGTATTCCGTCAATCCTCAATCATCCTTCAATGCATTCATACGTTTCATTCCTCTATTCCTTAATCCATCCATTTTTGTTAAAATAAATCCTTACTCTCCATTAATTCGTATCATACATCCATCCGTACATTTATATATTTATCGATCCGATTCCTACCGAAAGTTTCTCCTCTCTCAGGTCTTTTTTTTTCCCCTCTCTTTTATCCCATATTATATCATTTTTCCTTATCACATTATAACAATTATCATATTATGCTATCATGCAGATAATAGTTTTTTAATTTGATCAATTATTCCATTCTGTATTTGTATAAACTTTGACATAATATCCACAATGGTAGCATATAAAAAAATTTTATATTACCGTACTAATTGATGCAATTTAATTATTCAGGATCAATTCTACATTTTCATACTTATTCTCTACCTTTTTTTTTTTTTCCTTTATTCAAAAACAACAATAAGTAAAAAAAAAAAAAGCAAAAATGCTAACTGTAGTATTAATCAATGATTTGTTAAATTACAACAAAATCCATCGATCCTTTCGAGCTTTTTTTTTTTCTTCAATATCCTACTTTTTTTTTTTTCGTCACATCTTTATTCTTAAAAAAATAGAAGAAAAAAAAAATGTATCTTTTAAGGATGTTACAAATTGTAAACAAATGATTTGTACTTATATCAATGTGATGTGTGACTGGAATTATATCATCTTGTTGAACAGTAAATAAATTCCTTATTTGTCAATCATTTCATAAACAAACATTGATCAGATTTTTTTTCTTTCTTCTTTTTCATTTTGCAAATAAAATTATGGTGCAATTCGATATACCAATCATTTCATAGAAGGAAGGAACTTAAAAATTGACGCTTTTATTTGTCATTTAAAGTATGTAAAAAAAAAAACAATAATAATAATAATAATAATAATAATAATAATAATAATAATTTCACTAAAATCTATTCAATAGCGCAGAACATCAAACGTTATGCAATTTGATAATACCGTAATGTTTAGGTATAATCGTCATCTTTTAAACTTTTCTTTTTT